TCCCGGAACACTAAACCCTAAACCCTACAAGCCCTAAACCCTAAACCCTAAACGTGCACAAACAGAGTTCTGACCCTAAACCCTAAACCCTAAACCCTAAACCCGAAACCCGAAACCCTAAACCCTGCACAAACAGAGCTCTGACAGGAAGGACAGGGCGCACTTCGTCAGATTGTGCATGGAAGCTCGGCTGTACTCCGCACAAGCTTGCAGCCGCAGTCGCATCTCCACGATCTCATCCTGGACTTAGGGTTTAGGGTTTAGGGTTTTAGGGTTTAGGTTTAGGGTTTAGGGTTTAGGGTTAGGACGTAGGGTATTCATGTTCCCACTGTACTATAAAAATGCTTCAATGGGAGCCTTCCTACCGACGGCAAGGGGATGCGAACCTTAGAAGGTCTTGGAATGATGGGTGGGATGCAATTCTTCAAGGAATGTAGGGTTTTAGGGTTTAGGGTTACGGTTTAGGGTTAGCTACCTAAACCCCCAAAGCATGTAAATGGTGCTTTGTATGGATTTTGGGCTATCTTGTTACATACTTCGGGGCTCCAGGTATGGTCGACACCTAGACCAAAACCCAGACACCAAACCGCAAACTCTAAGCCCCACCCAAACACATTTATGGTTTTGGGCTTCAAATTCCATTTAGGGTCTAGTGTTTAGGGTTCAGAATCTCAAGTCCGAGCATTCCTTAGTCACACAGCTTGTCAAGGGTTGGACAAATACCCACCCGCCCATACAATCCCTTAGCATTAACAAGAGAATGCAAAGGTTGTCCATCTTCTTGTTGCGTGACAAAATGCATAATCGCAACACATCACCCTGGAACCCTTAACCATCCTAAACCCGGGGCCCTGAACCCTAAACTCACTGCCCTGCCCCGTAAACCCTAAACCCTAGGCCCTGAACCCTACTCCCTGTGACCGATTGTTCAAAATCTGAAAAACACCGGTGCCGATAGTCCAAATCTGAAAACACCGGGGTCTGACGGTTTAACATCTGACAAACACCGGTGCGGATTGTTCGAAGTCTGAAAAACCACGGGGGTCGATTGTTCAAAATGCGACCAGCCTTTAAACAAATACTACCAGGAAAAAGAGGGTTTAGGGACTGAAGGTATACCAGCATGGGCTAGTATACCCTATAACCCTTTAAACAGGCCCTTTATAGAGTTGATTGTAGGGATTGTGGGGCCTAATTGCCCATCCTGGTAGGTCTTGGCTTTAAGCCTTGAAACCAAAAAGCCTGAAACCTGACTTAAGCTTCCCTCAGCACAGCAAAACCTGCTTCTGCATAAGTTAGCAAGAATCCTTCTCTTTGTAGGTATGACCGCCCTAAACCCTGAACCCTGAACCCTAAACCCTGAACCCTAAAGAGTCAGCTTGGGTTTCCTAAGGCTCTAGAACACGAAGAGCCCTGAGTTTTAACTGGCTTGGGGCTGAGGAACTTTAGCTAAGTTACCATAAGAGGGTTCAGGGTTTAGGGTTTTGGGCACAGGGTAGGCTTTAGGGTACCCCGGTCAGTTAAACCCCTGCTCCTCAAGCCTGCGCAAAACCCCAAAAACAACCAAACACCTGGCCTGCGTGGGCTGCCTTAGAAATTGGAAGATCCAAGAATCTGAGGGCTGAGGGTTTAGGGTTTAGGGCTTAGGGTTTAGGGTTTAGGGTTGACAGTAGCCCTACCAAAAAGAGGGATCCAGGTAGGGTCTTAACCCTGAACCCGTAAACAACTACCCTACACCCTACACTTTCGGATGTTCCCCCTTAGACTAACAGTCCTTCATCGGGATTCTGGTACCCCCTGAACCCCAGATCCTAAACCCTAAACCCTAGACCCTAAACCCTAAACCCTAAACCCTAAACCCTAAACATCCCAACCCAGGCCGGCGGGAACCTCGGCAGTGGCAACAAGCTGGCGCAGCTGCGAGATCTTTGCATCCTCTGGTGTGGGTTTAGGGTTTAGGGTTTAGGGTTTAGGGTTTAGGGTTTAGGGTTCAGGGTTTAGGGTTTAGGGTTTCGGGTTTGGGGTTTGGGGTTTAGGGTTTAGGGTTTGGGGTTTAGGGTTTCGGGTTTGGGGTTTAGGGTTTGGGGTTCAGGGTTTGGGGGGTTCAGGGTTTGGCGGTGATGTCTATGACCCGGGGCCTTTCATTGGGTTTAGAGACAGACACCTAAATCCTGTCAGGATCATTTTTCAGAGTTCATAACCCCGAAAAGTGATCTTGACAGGATTTAGGTGTCTGTCTCAGTCCATGGTCTGCCTCGGGTGGTCTTGCATCTGGGGCCGGCATCCACATTCTCCAGAACGGAAGACCCAAACTGACCCCTCCAACTCCAAAGCCATGAATATGCATGTAGCCGCTTACAAAACCCCAACATCCCAAACAGACGTCTCAAGCTCGCTAGATCCCTAAACCCAAGACCTACAAGCAAAAAACAAATGTAAAGACGACACCCTAAACACTAAAGCCGAAACCCCAAACAACCTTCTAAGGAGGTTTTTGAACTGAGACAGCAGGAGGTGTCAACATGGCACAAGTTGGGAAACATCATGGCCTGGTGTGTAAGTTTGAAAGCTTGGGTGTTTTCAGTTACCCTAAACCCTAAACCCTAAACCCTAAGATCTTTCACGCCCAAACGTTTGGGGGTTCAGGGGGGAGGACACCGGGCTGCCTCCGGATCGTATCCCGCGTCTGAGAACGCCTGCAGCAACTTGAGGACACTCTTACAGATGAAATTCTTAGGCTGGCTGGGGTTGAGGGTTTAGGGTTCAGGGTTTGGGGTTTAGGGTTTAGGGTTTAGGGCTTGAAGGGCTCAGCAGTCTACAGGACCTGTACCTTTGGCACGACAGGAACCCTAAAACTGGGGAGTAATATGGGTATACGGACCCCAAAACCCTTTTAGGGTTCATGTCGTCCCCAAGGGAACCGCTCCCTGCATCCAACCCAAACTCCAGAGCTGTATAGTGAACTCCAGAAAGTTGGAACATGGGTTTAGGATGATTAGTGCTGGTTTTCCCTAGACTTTACCTCGAAGATATTAGGAGGTTGATGTTCCAACTTTCTGGAGTTTACCACAAGCCTTTGCACACCTCTCCAAATTTAGCGCCCCAGTGTGTGTGATCTATGGCTGCTGCGTGTTGATTTCCAGCTTTCCAGGACGAGGACTGAGGCTTATAGGGTTTAGGGTTGAGGGGGGTGTCTAGTGGGTCCGGTTGAAGTGTTGGGCGTCGGGCTTCGGATTCTGGATCAGGCCCTAAGACCCAAACCCTCAACCCTTCGCACCTGTGATCTGGTAATCTCGGGGCCTGAGTAATCAGAACAGGGTTTAGGGGGTATCGTATGATTATAATGGGATCCTAGTAAATACCATGAGAAATTATTCCGACCCTTCTGGTACACCTTGGTCCCTCGAGCAGTGTTGGAGGAAAACCCTGCAACCCGAAAGCAAAATCCCTAAGACCCGAAACCCTAAATCCTAAACCTCCCGCCAAGGCCAACCGCCTGACAGTGGGTCACCAGCTCCTCCGCATAACCCTGGTCCATGCTCACCTTGGAGAAGGGTTTGCGGTTTAGGGTTTAGGGTTTAGGGTTTAGGGTTTAGGGTGTAGGGTATCTACATGTACAAAAAACCCCCAAACCCATCATTAGAACCCTAAGGGTCCATGCACCTTATTCTTCTGTACCTGGGCCTCAAAGTCCCCAAAGAGGAGGTACTTTAAGGCACAAGCATTCCCTATTTAGGTACATGGACCCTTAGGGTTCGAAGGCTGCAAGGGTGCAACATTGAAAAACCCAGGGTGATTGGGGGGACACGGCTCGGACGATTCCCGACGTTCACGGACATGCAACCCACCCCCGTTTAGGGTTTAGGGTTTAGGGTTTAGGGTTTAGGGTTTAGGGTTTAGGGTTTAGGGTTTAGGGTTTAGGAGAAAACCCGAACCCTCAGCGCGCCCCTACTGTGATCCGCAACACTCGAAACTCCGAGCAATGCTCAGGCTTACACTAAACTCCGACCTCCACCAAATCCTATTTGGGGGTTTTGGGGTTAAAAGTTTAGGGGTTATAGGCTTTAGGATTTCGGCTGATGAAAAAAGGAATCCTACTTTTTGTGGGGTCTATATTTTGAGGGTCCCTGATTTTCGTAAACCCCTATTTTTCCAGTGTAGCCCGATGGACGCTGCTGACCCAGGACTCAAAAGGGCTTAGGGTTTAGTTCAGGCTCTATGTAGTTCGGGGTCCAATAATAACACTACACCCTTGCTATATACTTACTTTATGTATCTTTCTTTACTTTCTCCTATTGTATGGCATACAAGCTTCCCCCCTTAAGGTCATGTCGGAGACTCTGTAGAAGAGCACTTCTCGCTGTCAGCTTCTTCGGGATGCTCCTGCTTGGCAGAAGGCCGCCAACGTCCAAGTCGTGGCCGGTGAGTCCAAGAGTGGCCAGGGCCTCCCTTCCCCCTCCACCCCTCAAAACAGAGTCATGAAAACCCCTATATAATCCCTAAACCCTAAAAACCCTAAAAACCCTAAAAACCCTAGAAACCCTATAAACTCTATAAACCCTATAAACCCTATAAACATCTATAAACCCTATAAACCCTACAAACCCTATAAACCTTATAAACCCTTGATCCTAACCACCCCAACCTTGAGCCTATATAAACCATCTTTCCAGCCCTTATTAAGCACAGACTAACCACCCTTAAAGTCCTCAAACCCTTCAGTCCCAGACCCCTTCAAGACCCAAAGCCGCGATTTTGCCTGGAGACGTGCCGAAGAACCGGGGTCCCGGAAAATGTCGAAAGGGGGGCGCCACAAAAGTCTGCAAGTTGTTCGAGATTCAGCGCAAGAAGGTGAGGGTCTAGGGCTTATAGGGCTTATGGGGCTTATAGGGTTTATAGGGCTTATAGGGCTTATGAGGCATGTAGCTTCGAGTGCGTAGTTTGCGGTGTGTGCGGGCACATGGAGCATGGCCCCTGGAATTCTGCAGCACGCTCACGTTTCACAGGCGTGCAGTCAAGGGCTTAGACACGACGGCACCGTACACGAGGCTCTGGAGCATGGCGCGCAGCGGCAACCGGAGGCGGTCATTGAACATGAGGTGTGTCATGAAGATGACCGCGAGGTCCTGCAGGTTTACGAAACCCTACACCCTACACACCCTAAACCCTAAACCCGAAACCCTAAACCCTAAACCCCCTCCTCCTGGGGATCGATCCAGAAAATGGTCGACGCAGCCCCCCCCCAGGCGAAGGTGCCTGGGGAGCAGATCTGCTTGCTCTTGGCGGGGTCGAGAACCTTAATACTCCCCTTAGGACCTGAAAACAAAAAAAAACAAGATCCTCTTGGGTTTTTGATATAAACAAGAATAGAAAGTAATTCCCAAGGGGGATAGAGGCACCACGCTGAAGCCGAGGCCGAACCCGATGCCTTCCTCCGGCAGCTCAGAGTACCCGCCCGGCGGCGCCAGCTGCTCCATGTCCTGGCCGTCGGGCAGGAAGTTCCGCGTCATGAACTCCAGCGTCTTGCGCGAGATGAGCGCGGGCTCGCCACGCCCGCAGCGCAGCAGCATCTGGCAGAAGCATGTGTAGTCGGCCAGGGTGGACACGAGGCCACCCCCACCGCTGAGCATCTTCTTGTCGCCGAGCTCCTCCACGCTGCGGTAGTTGAAGTCGGAGGGTGCCGAGATGTCCACCAGCCCACTCGCGCGTGTGAGGCTCGCGGGCTTGCGTGGCCCCAGCGTCGGGTCTAAGTCGGCTGGCATGAACAGCGCCGCGAAGCGGTCGCGCTTGGCTGGCGGGACGTGGAAGCCCGTGTCGTGCATGGCCAGGGGCTCGAACACGCGCGTGCGCAGGAACTCGTCCAGCGGCAGGCCTGAGATGCACTCCACGAGCCGGCCCACCACGTCCGTGTTGTAGCCATAGTGCCAGTGCTCGCCTGGCTGGAACATGAGTGGCATGGTCGCGAGCTTGTCCACGAACTCGGCCAGGTCAAGCCCGGGCTTCGTGCGCCCGACGCCCGCGTGGTGGTACAGCGCGTCCACCGGGTTGACCACGCCGTGTGCGTCGAAGCCGTAGGTGAGCCCGCTTGTGTGCGTCAGAAGGTGCCAGACGCGGATACTCGTCTTGCAAGGCACCGTCTCGTAGAGGTCTGCGTTGCCACGTACAAACACGCGCATACTCTCGCGGGACCACTGCTTGCCCAGCCAAAGCTTCACAGGGTCGTTGAGCTGGAACCTGCCTTCCTCGTACAGCATCATCAGTGCCATGCTCACGATGGGCTTGGTCATGCTGTAGATGCGGAAGATGGTGTCGGCGCGCAGCGGCGTGCCCGGCGCCTGCTCGCCCGCCTGCGCCTGGTAGCACACCTTGCCATGGCGCACCACCGCCACCTGCGCACACGGAAGGCGCTGGTCCGCCACCAGCCGCTCCTGCCAGGGCCCAAGCCGCGCCGCCAGCCGCTCGGAATCCACCATGGCCCCCGAGTCCACAAGTATATTGTACCCTAAACCCTAAACCCTAAACCCTAAGCCCCTAAACAAGAACGACAGATCGTCTTGGACTAAGGGGCTCAGGCTCGAAGGTGCTCGGATTTGAGGCTTCTCAATGGCCAGCCTAGAGCTGGTTCCTGTGGGTGATGCAATCTCTGTGGGTCTCTTGTGGTTCTTGCTAATCTCTCTCTGATCTTTCCTTGAGCTCTATAGGTTACATCGAGTCTTGTAGATCCATTATGACCCCTTTAGGTCGCAACCAAGATCGATACACCCCCTGAGCTTCAAACCTGCCAAGCCCACAGCAACCCCAAAAGCTGGACGCTAAAGAGAGTCCTTGTTTCTGGTTCTTAAACCGAAGTTACCAAGCGACTTATCATAACAAGGTCTCTACATATTTGCTACCTAACTCTCTGGACCTAATTGTAAGCTCAAAACCTAAACCTAAACCTCACACCAGAAACCCCAAACCCCAAACCCCAAACCCTAAACCCTAAACCCAAAACGACCCGGACTGATAAGGCCCAGGCGTTCGCGAGGTCAGGTCCAACTGGGTCGTTCACCAGAACTTCGAGGGAGGTGTCCTGGCATCTGGCACATCTACGTGGTTTAGGGTTTAGGGCTTAGGGCTAGGGTTTAGGGTTTAGGGTTTAGGGTTTAGGGTTTAGGGTTTAGGGTTTAGGGTTTAGGGTTTAGAGTTTAGGGTTTAGGGTTTAGGGTTTAGGGTTTTGGGTTTTAGGGCTTAGGGTTTAGGGCTTAGGGTCTAGGGTTAAGGTTTAGGGTTTATAGGGTTAGGGCTTAGGGTTATTTGGGCTTGGGGTTTAGGGTTATTTGGGTTTAGGGTTTAGGGTTTAGGGTTTAGGGTTCAGGGTTTGGTTGGTCCAGGAACAAAGTGGTGCCACAAAACCAGGGAACCGCAGGAATATCGCAGCGATAGAGGTGGGTGCAAGAACTTGGTCTTTGCGTTTAGGGTTTTAGTGTTTTGGGCTTTGGGCTTATTAAGGTAGCCATATGGTCCTTTACTCTGGGCCCTTAGTTGGGGAACTCTTGTATACCCCGTATATACCTTGGTCCCTGTGTTCTTAGGGCTTTTAGTGTTTTGGGTTGATTAAGGTAGCTATATGGTCCTTTACTCTGGGCCCTTAGTTGGGGAAGTCTTATATGCCCCGTATATTCCCTAGAAAACCAATGCAACTTCCCTCAGATCATAGGAACCCCACAGGAACCATGAGTTTGGACAACCCTTCATGCGCCCACGAATTCTTTTCTCGGGGTCCCTTCGCCTGGGCTCCCTTATCATCCCAATGGCCCTGAAATACCCCTAAGCCTTAACCCTAAACCCTAAACCCTAAACCCTAAATCCTACACCCTAAACCCTCAACCCTAAACCCTCAACCCTAAACCCTAAACCCTGTGCACCTGGCCAGAGAAGACTGACCTCTCGCGCTCCTGCAGGGCTCCCAAAACCCGAGGCCTCAAGGGATTAGGGTTGAGGGTTATAAAAGCGCACAAAGGTTTTCGGGTTTAGGGTTTAGGGTTTAGACCCAATTATAGGGTTCAGGGTTGATTGCGGGCTGTTGGATCTAGGCGGCAGTTATGGCTTCCAGTGGGTTCCGCTTAGGGCTTCAGAAGTCGGCGGGCTTACGGTCTGGCATTTAAGACCTCGCAGGCCCTAATTCCTGAACTCCTGGAACCAGCTTCCCAAGGTACCACAGACCTCCTACGCAGCACCAAACCCCAAAAGTCGACTTCGGACAAGCTCTCCCCCCCCCCCCAAAAAAAAAAAAAACAATAACTGCAGCAAAAAAACTCGAATCTGCACTCTATTGGGTGGTCTCTTGGCCCGCCCTGACCTGATTACGCCCTGAAACCCGGGGGGCTCCCTCAAACTCCCCTCTCTGTCCCTCCTCTTCCAGAGTCCAGTCTTTACCTAAACCCTAATGTTGACTTCACATTAGTGATTCCCGCCGCAATTGTAAAATCCCGCTGCCGGAACACAATATTGTAACCCGCCACAATTGTAAAATCCGACCCGGGAAATCCGGTTTTTACGGGCGTGGTGCTACTACCTAGTACTAAAACTAATAGTACCAGGATTTAGGCGAATACAATTGAGGAGGCCCTGGCCGGAGAGATTGATCAATCAAGGGGGGGGGGGTTTATTAATGCGAAGTCAACGTAAAACCCTAAACCCTAAACCCTAAGCCCTAAGCCCCAAACCCTAAACCCTAAACCCAAATAACCCTAAACCCTAAACCAGTCCAGTCTTTAGTTTTTGCAATCCTTGACATACTGCGTGGGGGGGGGGGGGGGACGGTGCTCAAACATCCTGGCTGCTTTAACTTTCTGTTCCGGCAACTATTCGAAACTACTTTTCTTCGTTCTGTTCTGGCAACATCTTGCCTTATCAGAGGCTGGTTTAGGGTTTAGGGTTTAGGGTATATAAACTCCAAAACCTGAAAACATGCATGGCCAAGCCCACGAGAAGAAATTGGCGAAATAGCATCTTCTGACCCTAAACCCTAAACCCTAAACCTGTACCTCCTAATTGGGGATGACATGCTCAGCTGCACGACGTCCTTGCGCATCCATCTTGCACCTGGGTGTGACGGAAGCCAGGCTAACCCAGGGTGTATTTCGTATGCGTTGCTGGCTCTCAGGGGCTTCGGCAAAGAGGGTCTCTACATAAACCCTCGCACGGTTGAGTCTAGGGTACTACTATGAAAAGGGTCCCCGAACAACTGGTGTCTGTGGCTGAACACCCAGCGCTCTGTGCGGGGTTTAGGGTTCTTGAAATCTGGTGCTTATTTGTTATGGTATTGTGGTCCTCTCTTCTTGGGAGCTCTTTTGGTATCGGGTGCTTTAGCCTCAGGGCCACTTAGGGGTGCGTGCACATTCCTGGACTGCAGCTGCTTGTGAAGATCCGGAGCCAGCATGTGACTTTAGGGTTCAGGGTTTAGGGTCTAGGGTTTAGGGTTTAGGGTCTAGGGTCTAGGGTTTAGGGTTTGGGGTTTGGGGTTGCGGGTTTAGGGTCTTTAAACCCTGACCCACGGTTCCCTGGCAACCTGATCTGAGGTTCAGGGTTTAGGGTTGAGGGCGACCTAGCTTCGGGTTTAAGGATTCCGTTTTCGAGCTTGGGAAAAACGATGGATTACGAACCCTGAGCTAGGTGTGGCTTTGCTTATGAACGTGCTTTACACGGGCGCCGTACCCTTGAATAAAGGAGGCGCTCTTGAAACCCTGAAGCTTAATAAGCCTAGCGAACCCCCCGCCCCCTCCCCCACTGTCCTGCATAAGGCTTAGGGCCGACGTAAGGCTTAGGGTGTAAGGTTTATGGTCAGTAAGTAGGGTTCCGACTCCCTCGTGTCAAAAGAGAAGCCACTAGTTAAGAACCAACTGGGTTGAAAACTACCGGTACTTCGTGAAAAATTGTGAACTCGGTACTCACTTTATAAACCCTAAATTAAACCCTAAACCCTAAACCCCAACCAGCCCAACCCGTCTCAGCCCTTGAACTCAGGCCCTTGCCAAGGACCGTTGTGTGGATCATGGCCTTCTCGATAATTGGGAGGTTGGCCCGCTCCATGAACATCTGATGTTAGGGTTTAGGGTTTATAGGGGTTTAGGGTTGAGGGTTTAGGGTTTATAGGGGTGTAGGGTTGAGGGTTTACGACTTAACTAGGGTTTAGGGCAGGCCAAAACGAGAACTGGCAAGAAAGGAGCCTTAAACCACCAGAGGCCCTGGCCAAACGCTGCAGACCCACAGAACCCCAAAATCCTTCCTTGGACGAAGACTGCCTGCGCCCCTCACCCTAAAGTTTTAACCCTAAACCCTAAAGCCTAAACCTAAACCCTAAACCCTAAACCCTAAACCCTAAACCCCAAACTCAAACCTATAGCACGTCGGCCGTACGAGATATATCTTCTCACCATGTCAAGCTTTTGTGTGACCACTGTCGGAAAATTAATCAATGGGTGCCTCGGCTGAAATGGCCAAGTGGGGTCATTGGAACTCCCGATTTAAGGTTTCGGGGCTTGTAAACCCTAAACCCGGAACCCTCAACCCTACTCCAGGTTTGGCCACGCCTTTTCCATTCTATTAGGGTTTAGGGTTTAGGTTCCTTCATGTATAGAAAAGGGCTTTGGGGGTTATGAGAGTATACTTATATAGGGACCAGAAGGGAATACTATGAGTAATTATTCCGACCCCTATATTGCACCCCTAGGTTCTAGATGCTCAGCAAAACCACCCGAAACCCGAAGCAAAGACCCGGCCTCCAACAAGGCCTTCTGCTCGGGGATCTGGCGCACCGGGCGGCGGCAGCAGCAGGTTAGTTTCGACCTTTAAGGTGGCGCAGGGCGCGGGGCGCGTGGGGGTGGGGCGGGGGGGGGGGGCTTGGGCGGGGGGACACTTGATGGTGGCACGGTTGTTTTGGGGGGGCAGAGAGAGAAGCTCAACCAAGCTCTGTTGATTTAAGCGACTATGGCAAGTGCTACAGAACTGCTGCAGATCGGAGCGTCTCTTGCACATCCTCCAGCAAACAATTCCCATCCGACGGGCAGGCAGCCACACTGCAAACTCCATAGATTGGACCTACTATGTTGGCTAAAAATCATGGCTCGAACAAAGTTGCTATCTTACGCAGGTCGAAGACACCAAAAAACGCAAGTGTTCATGGTGTGGCAACTGGCAACCCTGGAAATAACGATGACAGATTGAGTAAATTCTGGATTGGGCTTGTCAGTTCCGGGCTTAGCTACCCAAAAACAATCTTTTTCGGCAAATCAGACAAAAAAAAACAAACCGTGTTCTCCATTTCGCGCGTATATTCTTACAGCCAACCCCCCCCCCCCCACCCCCCCACACACCCGTAACAGCAACAGCAATACCAATAGCAATACCAATAGCAAAACAGCAATAATAGGAATAAAGCCCGCAAGAGCCGAACACACTTTTTCAATATAGTAAGAACAACAGAAATTAC